CTATCGTGTCATTTCCCTCCTATGCATCGTTGGCAAGATCTTTGTGCGAATACTCCTAAGAATTTTGCAGAATCCCAATGTGATTTCCAACCTTCGATATTCCAGTATGATTTCTGACCTTATATATATATATATATATATATATATATATATATATATAAGTATAGGATTGGTGTATACAGAATAAATTCCAATGTCCAACAAATACTATTCTTTAAAGAGTGCTCAATACAGAGTAGAGTAAATATAATCATTTATTCAAAAATTAAAGCATAAAAATATTATAAAGTGTTGAAACATAATAGATATTTTGTAGTGATCTTATAACATTTTTATGTTATAATTTTCGAATAAATGATTATATATATATATATATATATATATATATATATATATATGTGTGTGTGTGTGTGTGTGTGTGTGATTTGTGTATTTAGGCACCAATCCTTCTTTCATGGACATTTCATTGAATACGACAGACAATGTGCTTTTATTTAGTTTTTTTATACAATTTTCAGATGATAAATTATATAAAAACTGTCCGAATGTTTGACACGCAGACTCAGTCTCCACCTTTTTGACAATAGCTCAATTAGATCTCATTTAAATATTCATGGAGACCTACCGGACACTATTCGTAACATACTTGTTGACAACATTAATATAATAACATCATCTATAGGCAAAAAAGGCTAAAAATAATGGAAACCTTATTAACAAAAAAAAAACAAACAAAAAAAACAACACTTAATAATATAAACTATGAACATGGACACAATATCATTATTCGAGAAGGTACTGCCAAACTATGGTGTCAACTCCCTCCTATGGATCATTGGAAAGATCTTTGTGCTAATAATACTGAGAATTTTTCAGAATCCCAATGTGATTTCCAACCTTCGATATCCCAGTATGATTTCTGACCTTATATACATACATACACACACACACACACATATATATATATATATAAAAGAAAAACAGACCACTTTAAGGTACCATTATAATAATTTATTTCACCAGAGTCCTTTTAAAGGACGTCGGATCATCAGATAGCACTCCCAAAAATGAAATGAAACGAAAAATGAAATTAAAATTGATGGGTAGTGTAAGTTTTTATAATTTAACAGAGAGTGTGAAAGGGATAGTTAAAGAGACATGTTAGAGTATAGGGAGGGATTAATTTCATATCTCTCTCAAGTATACTTTATATTGGGGGAGGAGGAGTAACCAGACCTTGACCTATTTAGATGGTTAACTTAACGGAAGTGATATACTGAAACGGGAGGGGAGTAGGGAGAAAAGAAAAGGAAAAAGAAAGAAGAGGGAGAGGGAAGTAAAGAGAAAGAGGCTGTAATAGGGTTTTACCAATTTATGTAAAGAATAGATTTTAATGCTTGATAGAAATTTAGATGTCTAAAAAAAAATTTGATGTTTGATATCAATTTAAATATTTAATTTTTTTAAACAAATAGTTTAGGGATTTTATATAAGTTAAATACTATATTTATTAACACATTTATAGAGAACATATTAAAAAAATATTTTAAATTATAATAGTTTGTTTACCCGACCAATCGTACTTTTTTTAATATTGTAAAAAATAGTTACGATAACATCTTTATTAGTTTTACTTTTAATCTAATTTATGAATGCAATTTGTCATTTTATTTTTATCTGGGTAATCTTAGGTTTAACTTAAAAGTTTAGGTTTAATTATATAATAATATTTGATATATATATATATATATATATATATATATATATATATATATATATATATTCCATTTATACGTTATTTTTATAGATATAATTTTTTAACTAAATGCTACCATGTTTTTTTTATTATTATTTAAAAAGTATTAATTACGTTTCCCGGCTTGAATGTGCGAGAAATTTCATGAAAAAGTGTTCGTTGACATCACAAAAATGTTATACAATGCAATAGATTTCGTCCACTTTTCGACAAACAATGAAAATTTAAAACTTTTTGTCTCATAATTTGTGCCCAGCTGTGTTATGGTGTTATATACACTTTTATCAATTTTTGTTTTTTATTAATTATTATCTAACAAAGAAGGCACTGTGGAGTAATATATAACGGCTCGGAATGAAGAATTGGAGAATTTAAATTTCAGTCGAACCTATTACATTCACTTACGTGCTAATACCCTTGGGAAAGGTATGAATCTTCTTCTTCCCCCCAGCTATGGATAAATAGCTTCTATAGCCTTAGATGACTATTGGTCTACCGCAGAAAGAAATGGAAATCTAGTGCGTGAAAAATCCTGCCTCGCCAGTCATGTATCGAAAGATCCACAATCGCCTAAGCGTGTATCATGTATAGCACATAACTGACTGACTATACAAAATATATTACTTTTATTTGGATTTATTCTTGGGATAGTAACATTTGTCAGTTTGCAAACAAAAACATGCTGAAAACATTTCTGTGCATTTTTTTTATACGATATTTAAGACTAAATACTTACATATTGGTAAAATTTATGAATCTAATTTTTGGTGTCAGTACCTATCACGCCATACAATGTTGGTGTTCCGCAAAAAGTGAAAAATCAACCCGCCCTACTCCACACAAGGGATTCAATTGTTTGGAGGTGGATGCACCAAAAGTCTGGAGAACAGCGATTTCTATATTATCCTTAAGTCATTCGTTAATTCCTTTGTCTTGTGGGTTCAGGCAGATGCATGTTGGAAGATGCAATGTCTTCTGACAGTAATTCTACCCCTCGAAGACTTACATGTCAGCATTGACATTTAAACCCATAGTAGGTATGGGAATATTCCTCGCTATAGATGGAGACCATAAAGATAGGTATGAGAACATCGTCAAGATACTTGCAACAATCTTTCTCTGAATACTCTCGGCGCTGAGAGCTCATTGCTTGGCTGATCACAAGCTTTTCCCCTGTGACAATGAAGATGTTTAAAAAATAATAAAGTGAGTTAAAAAATTACGGTTTATCAACTTCTATTTAAGATATACCTATCTTCAATCTTATGAAGGCTTTGAAACTGATATTTTAAAGTATATATAAAATTAATATATATTTTGCATATATTTATATTATAAATATATGCAAAATATATGAAACAAAGCCCGAGGAAAGGCAATGAAAGAGATATAAAATTACTCCCCGTAGACCGGTGGACCGGAAAATAAAAGAAAAACAAGAAAATTAACTAATCGAAAACAAAATATATGTGCACAACGACTAAAAACAAACAGGCAACATTACTTCTAGAGCTTCAGTAGTATGACTAACATTTAGACCAAGCAGCCATTACGCCTGCTTAAAGAGGGAAGGCTGATTAGACTTAATATAAGCAATTTCATGGACTCTCAGATAGCAATCCGAATGTTCTTTGTTGATTACTGTGAAAATATATATGGTAAAAAACGAGCCATATGTCGGATTATTCATTAAGTATTCAGCAATCGCTTAACCGGGTGTATTAACAAGAGAATGACAATTTTCGAACTGCCCTGGAGTACGGGCTGATCACCCCCCTAATTAAATGATTAGTTATGCTAATATATTCAGCATCACGCTTATATTTGTAATTATAAATCACTAACATGGCGGAGGACCAGAGCGTCTTTATAAATGGTTTTCTGCATAGACTGGGAAGTGAGAACAAACTAGATTAAATAGTAAAGCTGCACCCTTTGAGAGATTTGATTAGTAATTCTAGTGCTAACCCCACCAATCGATGGTAAGAGACGGGGTAGTTCTCTGGTTTAGTTAAATTATTTTTAAGATTTCAGTTGAAAATTATTACGCTATAAATATTGTGCAATGTTGCATTTCTACTTGCTCACATTAATAAACCTAGGCGTTCTAGCTGTAAATGGCTGAACTGGTAAAACGAAAGAATGCTGCTCTTCTGAACATTTTCCATTTTAGTGACAGAGTAGCGATAGTGTTGCAGCGTTTCGTCTTCGGAAAATGGGTAGGAGGGTTTGGAATATTTCATCGCCCACAAGGACAAAACAATAATGATAGTTTTTGTTGCATGAAAGATTTCCAAACAACGACAAACTCGTGTATACGAGACGCGGAAAAATGCTGCCTAAATACACACACACACACACATATATATATATATATATATATATATATATATATATATATATATATATATATATATACCTCATATATATTTTATATAAAAATCCTTGAAAAGTGAACATGAAACACAAAACTGCGTAGTCGGGTGAAGAATTTAAAATAAATCAAATATGTATATTAATTTACAGTAAGGAAATTTTTAAATTTAAGAAGAAAAAAATTATATACATATTATATATTTATTTTTTTTATTATTCGTGGAATTATACAGAAATTACTAAAAATAAAACCTTTTCTTAATTTTTTTTTCTCTACTGAGTTTAATTTCTGCAAATTATTTGGTAGTTCTTTTTCTGCTTCTCTCCGGAACAAAAGAAAACCCGTTCGAAAGAACATTTCGTGCCAAGAATCAAAAATTTAATCTGTGTCCTTTAGTATGACGTGTCTAGAAATATAAAATAAAAAGAAATGTCCAATTTCTTCATTGAAAAATACCACAAAAGGCACTTCAATGAAATTGGAATGGTTCTATTTGAAGATCGATTGGACAACATTCATTTTTTTTAAAAAAATAAAATGCTTCAACATAGAATATTGGAAATTAATTTTACAACGAATGCATTTACCTAATTAAAAAAATGATCGCTAAGTGTGTTTATTTATTCAATAAAATAACAGAAAATGCTGAGTTCATTGATTAATTATATAAATAGGCAGAAAGAAAGAAAGAAAGAAAGAAAGAGAAGGAGCGATGTAGAGAAACTGAGATAGAGAGAGCGAGAGAGAGAGAGAGAGAGAGAGAGAGATAAGGAGAAAGTGTAATTAAAATATATGAATACCGAAGAGTGAAATCAATTACATAGGATATGTTAGATTCTTCTTCTAAAATCCATGAACATATTCAGTTCAGTTAGCAAAGAGAGAGGGAGAGAGAGATAGAGAGAGAGAGAGAGAGAGAGAGAGGGAGAGGCAGATAGATAGATAGATAGATAGATAGATAGCGAGGGCGAGAGAGAGACAGGCAGATAGATAGATAGATAGATAGATAGATAGATAGATAGATAGATAGATAGCGAGCGAGAGATAGATAGATAGATAGATAGATAGATAGATAGCGATAGATAGATAGATAGATAGCGAGGGAGAGATAGATAGATAGATAGATAGATAGATAGATAGATAGATAGGGAGAGAGAGACGGGCAGATAGATAGATAGATAGATAGATAGATAGATAGATAGATAGATAGATAGATAGCGAGGGAGAGAGAGACAGATAGATAGATAGATAGATAGATAGATAGATAGATAGATAGATAGATAGATAGATAGCGAGGGAAAGAGAGAAAGGGAGAGAGGGAGAGGAACGGAATGCAGATTTGAATTGAGATAAAAAGAATTTTATGTAGAGTAGAAATAGAAGACAATGGGGGACGTTGCCTCCTCCAGTGTTATTTAAACAGCTGAGCGAGAATAGATGTATTTTTGAATTTGTATCTCGTTGGTACGAGAATAAAGAAACTAAGAATCACAACTAGCATTGCCCTTGTCGTTATTTTACATGGCGCTGTCGGCAGGATAGGATTGTGATTAACCCTGACAAATTCCATTTTGCAGAGAATGAGGTGGAGTTAGCCGGATTCTTAATAACGGATTATGGTGCGAAATTAAACGAAGAAAATGTCTGAGGCCATCCTTCACTTTTCTAAGCCAACAAATGTCACAGGCGCCAGTTTCTGGTTTGGACTGGTGAATTAGTTATTTTATGCATTCTTGCAAGCTGAGGTAATAGCCCCTTCCGGGAATAACTATGTCCGAAGAACCGAATAAGCGAGTAATAGTACGGAATGTTCAGAACGGTGTCAAGCCGTTCATGACCAATAAAACAACATGTCTTTTAACAGATTACAGTAAAACAGGAATCAGTTATTTTCCCTGGCGAAGCGAACCTAAATTGCGGTGATGGTCACTGGAAAATTAATTTGGCCGGATCTCCCTTTACCAACGACGGAGAATCTCGCTTTACCAACGACGGAGAATCCCGCTTTACCAACGACGGAAAATCCCGCTATGCGTAGGTCGAAGATGTAGCCCTGACTCTTATCTATGGGACAGAATAATGTACGGTATTTATATTGGGATGTCCAGATTTTCTAGTGACTGTTGACCATCAAACACCTATAAAAAATTTTTTCGGGTCGATCCCTCGAGAAAATAAGAAACACACGACTCTTTAATTTCAAGGAAAACTCAATAATACACAAATTCAGCATTAAACATTTCCCTGGAAAACTTAATGCTGCACTCGACTGCACCTCCCGGTATCCAGCATGGATCCCATCAGAGGATATGACAGAACGTCCCCAAATATCATCTGCATATATACAACAGAAGCGTAGACAGTCATTCAATGAGGCGACTACAAGTGATGCAGTGGAACCAATCGACAGTGTAATCAAGGCTGTATTCATGCTCAAATACGGGCATGGTCATATCACATGGGATAGGATATTTGCTGCAGAAGTCATTAATGAAGAATGTCGAACTCTGACGGAATATATATGGACTGGTTTCCCCAAATCACGTCATGACCTCCCGTCGGTTTTGATCCATGCTGCGTCGAAGGAGTACCGATGAAGGAGAAGAATATCCTTTTACTTCGTGCGAAATGCTTGAATATGTACATTCTGCACATCACGGTGTAAATGTCATGCTAGAAAATATGAGACAACACCTATTTCGGTCTGGTCTGGATGCCAGCACCCACTAGACCAGAGCCCAATATGTAACTCTACCACACCGTCACAGCTTAGTAAGCGGCTGATGTCGCCGTCTAACCCTGAATTCCCATTCCAACAAACTGTAATTGAGTTTTTTGACTTACAAGGGAGAAATCATGTTATATATGCAGATCGGCACACTGGTTGGGTGCAAGTGGCTCTGATGTCATTTGGGAAGATCAGGGTACTATGCGACATTCTAAGAACTTCGTTCTGCACATACGGTGCACTGAAGAACTTTCTTGTGACGGGGGACCATCTTTTGATTCCCAAGAATACGACTCATTCGTCAAGAATTAGGGAATACGGAAACGTACTTTGTCGGCTTACAACCCATAAAGCTATTGCCGGGCAGAACTGGCCGTCACAACGGCTCTAAGCGTGTACTCGTAAACAATACGGATAGCTGTAGTTTGCTTACCCAATGCAACAAGCCCGTCCAGTGTCTTGGCATGTCTCCTGCTATGATGTTATATTGCCGTGTTATCAAACACCACATCCCTGTTCTAGGGGACAAATGCCAGATATAAAAACAGTGGAGAAAAATTGGTGAATTGAGCAAAGCAGCAACGGCTAAAGGTCGTCCGGTGGAACGTACACTTTTACAATGAACATCATCGCCCAATTCGGGAATTAGTGATTCTGTTCAGATCCAGAATCAATATGTCCCTTACCCTCGTTGGTGGACGAAAATAAGGACAATCGCTTAGATACTCGGTAACCTACAGTACCGTGTGCGGGCGGATGTAAGCAATCGGGTAACTCTACGAAACACCAAGTTGTTGACGTCCCATATCATTCTACCCATGGAGCGGGTCCCTCGACCTTGTGGTACACCGATTTACAGCCGGTTCAAGATAGCAACACAGAAATAGATTAACCACATCTAGGCCAGGACCGTATAATACCTCTGCAGGTGCTGGGGTCCGACCGCAGCGATATGGTGAAATCGCTATGTGATTGACATGGATTATAATCCTTTATCACCCAACGCACAACATAAACCAAATATGGTAAGTAATGAACCAGAAAACATGGAAATTGACGACGCTGTGGTTTCAGAAAGCCCAATGCAAAATAATATTGGAGAACACCATTATCGGACGACACCAGCCTCAGGTCAACACTTACATCGAAACAAGCAGGCACATCGAAGTCTATCACCACACATACGTGAACAACAGCACACATATCCTAGGGACAAACCTTCAACTGACCATGTCAATCCGTCCTATGGTCAGGAGAGGGTGGGTTATGTAGATTAGAAATGGAAGATCTCATTAGATAATGGGACTCTTCCACAGGTAGGCATATGTTGCCTCGTCCAGTGTTATATAAGCAGCTGAGTGGCCAGGGGCTGGATAAACTTTCGTATTTGTATCTTCACTATTTACATTATTCGGACTATTGTCCTCATCTTCGTTGCCATATTTATTACAATGTTTCTACCAATGTATGCCCCAGCCTTCTTCAGGTGGTTGGAATGTCGAACTGAACCCTTTATTTCGCACACTGGGGTAGACTGTTCTAGTTCCACGTGCCATGTCTAATGGATGTCAGTTATCTCCTGTTAATTCACCTGTCCAAACTATACACTGCCTTAACCGGGCGCTGAACTCACATCCAGAGAGAATATATATGTACTTAGTAGTTGCTTTTGATCTCTTTCAAGGCTGGTAGGAGAGGATGGGTAGATTTTGTCCATATATGGCAGCAATGCTCCATATTTGTTCTGATCTGGTTCTTGTAAAAAGTATAACAGATAAGGCCAGATACTTTTACCAGTATCTTTACCGAGACATATATGAGTTCCACAAGGTCTTAGATGAATTTGAGTCCATTCGACGTCCAAAGCAAAGGACATATTTGAGAGTGTAAACCTTTATCATGATTGGAGAAAATTCAACGACTTCTGTGACTAACTTTGTTTTTGAGTTATTGAAAGTTACCAGCCAGTCTTTTCCCGATTGAGCTGTCAGAGCTAGGTCAGATGAGAGATCAGATCTGGTCATCTAGATATTACCTATACACTGCTGCATAATAATTTATTTACTTTTCAGAAATAAACAATTAATAAATAAGGCCTCTAGGAAATTATGCTGTTCATCAATAGACTTATAAAATATTGCAGTTTATAAACTTCGAACATATAATATAAAATTCGCGTTTACAGACGATAATGAAACTGCTTGAAAGACAATTTATGAATAGTACAGTCTAAGTATACATTATCTACAAACAAACCTAATTGCAACAGACATCGAGCAAAAAGAATACAATGAAACGAAACAAAGGCAAAATAAGACAAACTTAAATCTAATTTAAAATATATTAAAATTTTTCGTCGGCTTCCTACTAAAGACTATATTTCTATGTTGACTTAATAAACCAAATGGTAACTCATCGTTTAGTACCTTATTTTCCAAACAATGGCCATTTGTAATAGCTGGTAGTGTTATTTTAATTGTATATTTTTATTTGCAAAGTACGAAAAAGGCTCGAGCAAAAGCAACTGTCTGTTAAAGTTTTAGTTAGTTTTCAACATAGACGTTGAAAGATACAGAAAGTAAGAAAAAGAAAAGACAAATTTGATTTATTCTCATCGAATTGAATGCCTAGCACTGAAGCCCTCAGGGTGCATACTTTTAGAGCACATTCGATTTAATGAATACAAACAACTGCAAAGCAAAAATCGACATTTAAAACAGAATAGTGCGCAAAAGGAGACGGTTTAGCTACTTTCAATCACGTTTACAAAGAGAAGATATAGAAAGAGCAGCATTGACTCTAATGTTAATAGAAAATATCCAGTGTTCATTCTTCAGATTTTAATAGAAAAAGTTGAATAGACAAAACTGAAAGTATTTAAAAGAAACTTGACAATGTCAAAGAACAGAAAAAAAAGGTTTTATTTTTATCAATTCATACCTTAACTGAAGATTTGGCTAATTTTAAAGCTCAGCGCTCTCAAATTTTCAATTTTCCAACTTTCGAATTTATTTTAAGCTATCATAAAAGCAACATTCATTGCGGATCTTTAAGCTAGCTTCCGCCTAGGGCTAATTTGGTCTCCGGTTTAAAAGTAAAGGAATCTTTAATCCAGCTTAGAAAACATCTATGATAATTTCGAAGAAATACCTTTGAATTTATATTGAACTTAAAAGTTCCACTTTAACTCCGATTGAGCGATATGTCCGATTCCGGCCAAAAGACTGATGTGGGCCGAAAGTCCTATTTGCACGTAAACTCCAATTTGGGCCGAAATTCCAATTCAGGCCGAAAATCGAGTTCTTCAAATCACAAACTCTGCGGAGCTTCAAAACCTCACGTCACGAGACCTCTTACTTTAACTTTGATTCTTTGGCATTTTCAAGAAATAAAATTGATTTCCTTAATTTCGAAAGTTTTTCAGATATTTTAAACTGAATTTAAAGCAATTTTTAAAAATTCATTACGTTTTTGTGTTACTTTAAACTTAATATAAATTATAACTTTTAAAATCACTAATGTGTTCCCTTTTCTTTAGGACACAAATCCCAATACTGGATGTTCAAGCACTAGATGAAGGGAAGATTTCAATCCCAGGATTATCCTGATTCCACATAGGTATAATATATGTAGAGTAAGTGTGGGCCGAATTAGAGACGTTTCAGACACACGGACGGACAGATAGAATTTGACGTTTATATATTAAAATAAACTGGATTAACTTGGGTTAATAAAAAATGTTAATAAAAGGTTTTCATTGCCGGGGGTGATAGGGGGGGAAAACTCTCATTGTTTATAAAATGAATCCGTGGCACACGTCTGAAATAGCTCCTGACAATTAAGTCCAGTTCCAAGCCAGAGAATGGGCAAAGGCGGAAAAATATCGCCCCATAACCATATGCTTCTTGTAAATAGAGCTCGACAACCCAGGAAGGCAGTCCAGGCGAGGGATATCAATTCCGATCGGTCATATTTACAACACGGAAAAGGTTACAGAGGTAAATCAGAGAACCTGGGTGGAGCCCTGAAGGTGTTTGACTGTCAATAGCATCAACTTTTCTGCAACTTCTGCAGCCAGGCCGCCCCTAAATGTAATGCCCTCTTTTTCCTTGGGTCTTATTGGTACGGTCGCGAGCGGGGCTGTGTGGTATGGGCAGGGAACCGTATCCATATCCCATCACCAGTCTAGGAGAAGGAAAACTATGAATTCAAACTACCTGCTACCTTGTAGGTCTTGCATCTTTAACTTCTGAGAGTAGGGACGGTGCAAGAGGGACCGCCAAACCATTACACTATTTTTCTTTGAATGTCACAATTGACTACAATTATGGAGGGGAGTAGTGACCACAGCCGTGCAAAATGTGCTAACTGAATAAATGATGATGATGTCAATGAAAACAAAGTCTATTCAGAATTTAGTAGCATTGAGATTTTAAATGTCGTCCAGGTCACTACAACTGATCTGGTAAACTTCCACTAAATAAATCATCATTTATGTTATGTGTCCTTTCAATATGTAGACGATTATAGCTCTCCACAACATCCTGACTTTTGTAGCTCTAAACAACATTTGAAACTTTATCATCCGTCCTTTCCCGTTCTTTGCTATCCTTTCACACAGTCATTAGTTAACTTCGCTGTTTCACTCTACCATGCTGACCTGAATACATCTTGTGAGTATTTCCGAAGCAGGCTTTCCTTATATGTGTGTCAGAAATTTCAACTGTTTCTTTCTGATTGCATGTTTCGGTATATTTCTAGATTCTATTTTTCTTAGAACGTGTTCATGTGTTCTGTCTATGATATTCTCAGCTCCCTTCTGTAGGAATCCATTTCGATCCCTTCGAGTCTCCTTTGTCGCGCTGAGTCTCTGTGAGTAAATTGTCCATCATTCGCTGCCATAATGGGGATAGATATGGAATAGCAGTTCAACTTCATCTTAAATATTAAGTATAAATATTTTGTTTACTTTTCTAAAATGCTTCTTTCGCTAATTCAATGAACCTTCTTATCATACTTATTGTCAACTGTTGCTACACTATCCAGATAATTGCATTCCTGTAATTTCTTATTTTGATGTTTTCATTTTTAAACGCACACCTTCGGCTGCTTTTCTTATTAAAAACCATATATTATGTCTTATAGCTAATGGCTAGTTCTTTCTTCTCGTGTTTCTTTCTTACCTTTTCTCGGAGTTTCTGAAGTTTTTCTTTTCAGTCCTGCACCATCTGGCCCTATGATGCCAATAAAGTTTGCATTATTTTCTGTCCCCTGACCTTTTTATCTTTAATACTTAATGTACACACGGCAGAGCGAAACTCACCCAAACAAATTTAAGACAAAAAATGTAAAAATCAGTAACAAATTAAATTCTTAAATAATCTGTTGACGGTACAAAAATTTATTATGGTTGTAAAAACGGACATATTAAAGGTAAATAAGTTTTTGAGACACAATATATTAAGTCTAAGCAGCCTTTCCTCTAAAAGTAGAAGGAATAGCTGCCAAGTCTTAATGTAATCTGTCTGTGATTTATTTATGTTTTACCTTCGATTGAATTTCATCAAGAAGTGATATGTGGTCAGCTATTTTTGAGTTTTTTTTTAATGTTTTTCGATTTACCATTTTACGGTGGGTAATATTTTCTAATGTCCTTGCTTTTTATTTTTTTTTTTCTTATAAATGTGTATATTTTATGTGAATATATTCTTTTAAAATGTCCGTTTTTAAAACTATAAAAATGACATTTTAATTGCCCGTGTTATTATATTATTATATTTCGATGAACGATCTTTACAAAGGTTTTTAATTGGATAACAATGTTTTTATTTCTTCTATGCATAAGGTTACTAGATGCGCACATAATACCCAGAGGAGAGTGCAATTATAGAGTGAGAATAGTAGAGAGCCACAACACACACACACACACACACACACACACACACACACATATATATATATATATATAAAATATAAATATATATATGTATAATAAAATTTGTGCATTTAGGCAGCAAATTCTCATTTAGACATGTCTGACTGAATAAATTACAGACGTTATACCTGCTAATTTTTAATAAAATCTGTTCATACTCACGAATAACCTTCCATGTATTGATGTTAAAGGATGAGAGATATGTACTATAGCTGTCTGAATTTCTTTTATTTTCATTTCCCAAGTACTTTCGATCTTTATCCAAAAGAAATTTAAACAGCTATAGTACATTTCTCTCATCCTTTAACATCAATACAGGGAAGGTTATTCGTGAGTATGAACGAATTTTATTAAAAATTAGCAGGCTGTATGTATGTATGTATGTATGTATAGTCAGTGCTGTTGTGGTTTCGGTAGTTTTTTATGAAGTGGAGTTACTAGACCTAAGTCCAAGCGCTTTTGGATTTTGAGTTGTCCTTTTAAACTGATTACCTACCTGCTTGTAACCCCAGTTAACGAGAGAAGAGATGTACCAAAACTTTCCAAGTATAGTTGTGTGAAAGCGAACGCAATGACATCGGCTGGAATTTCTCCTTTTTCCTTAAAACTATATCGTTGTTTATATGTTCTATGCATGCTATTCTCGACACTGGCAGTAGAACCAAATCCCTGCCGCTTTAAGTCACTTCCTCGGCTGTGGATAGGTATTAGGGTATGAGATATTACATAGAATTTCACAACTCTTTTCTTTGTTTCCATCGAACGCGTTTTACTTCTTTGCTTTGTTTCTAGAAGGCAACTTTCATATTTATTATTACTATGCATCTCCGGGTGTCAGTGTTTCATTTTCCGTCTTCTCTTGCTAATTTAAGCAGATAGTTGAATTTCTGAACTTGCTTGATTTGGACGTCTCCAGTTCTCAACATGGGTTGAATCTTTTGCAGACAGTCCTTTCTTCTTACTTTCCTTTTTCACTTTTTTTGACTAATCTTTCTTTCATCTTCTTTCTTTTGCTATTCATCGGCAATCTGTGAGTTATGACAAATACAAACACTACTTAAAAATTATCATCATCAAAATGTAGAAGTAGAATAATAATAATAATAATAATAATAATAATAAGAAGAAGAAGAAGAAGAAGGGGGAGGAGGAGTGGGTAATTTTAAATATTGTTCTTTTGTCTAAGCTCTTACTCTTGGGATGTTTTGTCTTTTTCATCAGATGCCTCTATGTCATAGTTTGCCTCTTGTCCCTTTGTATCATTCGAATTATGGAACGTCAAAATAGACATTTCCCCGGACAGATAATTTATAAATAGAAATGGAATATCTGTCAATTATATTTTCCGTTCATTTATTATTACGCAGGAAACGGAATTTTATCATTTTTAGATGACATAGAGAACACGTACGTAATAGAAAGATAAGTATAAGGAGGTGCTGAAAAGTTTTCTTCCTGTTTTTTTAAATACCACTTCCATTCAGAACATAAGGGATCATATTCACAGATTTCTTCATTAATTTTGAACTGCCATTACCTTTTGCGAACGTTTGTGGAATGGTTTCCCGTTTTTGCCCTCTACGTTTTTGGAATCATTCTTTTCGTAGAGTAGATGCCACCAATTGATGAGTGTTCAAGTGTCTTGCAATTTAATCCATAGCTATGAGACGAAGGATTGATGTCCTTTTCAAAGGCATAATCACGAATGAACGGAACAGAATTTGAAGTTTGTTCGTCAATCGCACTTATAGACAAAGAAGCATCCCATAAGCTAAGCAGTTTATTAAGAAACAGAAAAAAAATCGTTAGAAAAAAAAAGGGTATTGAAATGTGACGTGATATCTGTCCTCCTATATAGCAGTGGATGCTGAATAATCTCCTCAGAGATGAAGAAGAGACTTGAAGCAACAGAAATATGGTTCTACAGAAGGATGCTGAAGGTATTATGAGCCGAATAGGTGAGCAACGACGAAATTTCTAGAGAAAATAGAAACAAAAAGGAAACTTATACTTAACATCAGGAAATCAGTTGAAATTTTTCTGGCACATCATGAGGAAAGAGGACTTGGAAAATATGAAACTCACAGGACAGATTGAAGGCAAGAGAGACAGAGAAAAACAACACATAGCATAATTAATGAGCTTGATTAAATGGATGGTGGAAAAGGGTTTAAGGAGAAGTAACAAAAAAGACAAAGTTTATTAAGAGCTATAAAGAACAGGAAATTGTGGAGAGCCACTATCGTTTACCCCCCGAGCAAAAGAAGCAGATAAAGAAGGAAATAACATTTTCCGTGCCGATAACCGTAACGCTATTCACCCACTCCTAAATTTAATTTTTGAACATTATTAAAATGTTGATTTTTGGTTCTAGATAATTTTAATCTCATTTTTGTTCAGCAGCATACCAACACCTATATGGGTTACTTAATGCCGAAATTTAAAAATTTTGTCTGTAATGTTATCCTTTCAATTACCGATATATTCAATTTTTATACTTTCAGCGTAAAGGTATTTTTTAGAATACTGTATTTGACGGCGTATATGGCGCACGTTTTCTTTTTTAATAAAATATCTTTTAAAATTCCCACGCGTCTTATATGTCATAGATTTAAAATTCGCGATAACCGGCCGAAATTAGCTACCTATCAACTCCTATTAGCTTAGACTTTAAAATACCTTTGATGCACTTGTTGTCATTATTTAAAAAGCTATTATTCAGATTAAAAGGGTTATCATTGATAAAATTCATTATATTAATTTAATCACGTATAATGTTAGTACTTTGTTTCAATAAAATTATATGCGATAAATTCCAATTATAAATTTGTTAATATATATTTGTTTCATTAATATTTTTCTTGCGATAACTTCCGGTTGCATTGGTATAAATACAATCAGAATTTTTATATCCTAATCTACTAAGACGTTTACAAGACGCAGGTTGTACTGATCATATAAAGGAAAATTTTTAACTGAATTGTAACTGTACTGTTTTGCTCAATTGTAATAATTGCTTGATTTTTATGTTGTTTTCTTATCTTTGGATATAATAAAGTTTTATAGGCTCGTGTTCTTTTTTTTCTTGTTATTTTTCGTTTAATTGTAATCATGGCTTCTTTAATCAAAATAATACCTCATAAATATAGCCTAGGCTGTACCATTTACTAATAATTTTACTAATTTTACCAATTACTAATTTTTTCTTGATTTTATGTGCTAAAATCGGGGTGCTTCTTATACAATTGTGCATCTTATATGGTGTTAAATACGGTATCTATTTTCTAGATCCTAAAAATAATTGTTGTTCATTTTCTTAAAAAAATAACTGTTGATTTTTGTTTGGGGGTTCACTATTTGGCTATAGCGGGGGCCTTAACAAGTGCTAACAAGGCTGGACTTCGAAACAACAGCAATTAAGGGGTGGTTCCACGCTACCCCAAACCTCGGATCTCCCAATCAAAAGCTATGATGTAGTTTATCATCATACCCAGGACAAAAACCATTTTTATATCAACTATGAACAATTATATATTAGCCTGTCATCGTCGGTACACTTGCATCCAAAGGAAAACAAGAGAGCTGCCTTCTGTTAATAGATTTTTTTTGCTGTCTTACGGTTTATTTAAATGATTTAGACTTATTTATTAACATCCCTATTTATACACATGTAAAGCATAAAGTAAACAATGTATCAGAACAGATTCGTTTTTTTTGGACTTAGTGACAAGTTTGGAAATGTGAATTATTAGATTTGATTTTAAAGAAATAATATCTGTTTAATAAAAACGATAAAAACAAAATTATGAAGAAAATATACATAGGTACGGGTAGCGTAATGGAAGATAGTAATCGGTGAGCTCTTAATATGGCCCAGGTTGTTCGGACTAATACATTTGGGAAAGCGACGAATAGCTGGTCAGACTGGGTACTTTAGCCTTGGTTGTCTACCATATTAAAAGAAGGATAAGTTTGAATTTATATCTTGAGGATTGGCGCGGGTGTAGAGACTCCAATCCGTAAACACTTAATTGTGAAGTGTGAATGAGACCTGGTATCGCTTCAAAGAGTCTGTAGGTATAAACATACACACACACACATACATAAGCGCGCACATACAAATAGAGATAGATAGATAGATAGATAGATAGAGAGAGAGAGAGAGAGAGAGAGGGGGGGAGGGCGCACACAAACACGCGCAGATGCAATTAGAAAACAATTTAGAAAATAAATAAAAAACATCACGAATCTAGAGATTTTTTTTCATGAATACTAGTCTGTCATATAAATTTGTTTCCAGATTTATCCTTTCAAAAAGTTCACACAGAATTTAAGAAAAACAAAGAAATTATATTCTGTTTGAATCTGTTAATTAATTTCCCACGGCAAAAAAGATAGCATTTCGTTTCATTTTCTATCTTATTAATAAGTTGTTCTTTCTCATTTAATAAAACACTTGATAAGTTATTTTTCTCTGATACGTTTTAGTGTTTCTCTTTTACAAAGCAAGTTATTCCTTCTCGGCTATCGAGAAGTTATTCTTTCTCGTTAACAAGTTATTATTTCTCGGTTATTAAGAAGGTATTCATCATTATCAAGAAGACAACTTGTGTTAACGTTTCGACTTAAATTGAAATTGCATTTTTGTGTTGATGCAAAAAGAGGCGAATAAGAAAAGAGCTGATAGAAAGTGTGTTCATTCCGATTAGTTTATGTTTGAAAATTGTTTAAATTTATCCTCTCTTTGACGATCAGCTTTTAAATAAAATGAGGCTTCAACCTATATACAGGAAATATTTAATATTTAAAAAAAAGTGGAAATATCAATTTTTTTTCACTCATGTTACATAAAAAGTGATACACAAGAAATTCCAATAGCAATTAAAGAAAAAAAATGAACAGTTTATTTATATTATTTTTCATTTGGATTGTTGTCCTTGTATTTGTTATTATCACGACGTTTCGACCATTTTGCCATTAAGCCTTCTTCAGTTCTTTGTCTACATGCTTAATATCCAGGACATGTTGAATTAACCATTTATTTAATCCCTTCAATAATCCTATCGTAGAATAAATATAATATAGGAGTCATTAATAAAGAAGGAAAAATAACAACATGGCTTCAGCAGCAACAATAAAAAAGAGAAGCCTTGACAATAGCAGCAGTTCTACTAGCAAGTAGATTAGGCTAAATGCTTCAAGTTCTAGACTCTGGATTGTCCCACGGGATACTGGCCTAGTGGATTCAAACGTTAGTTCGTTAATTTGGTGACATAATAATTGTGAGTTCAATCCATGATCAGGTCAGTGCAAATTTAGACTCAGTGGAAAAAGGGCTAGAAATAACTAAGCAATAACAACAAGTCGAGTTATCCCTTGATACGGAGAGCGAGGTAAGAACGCTCTACCTCTGTACATTAAATAAAAGGTTCAGTTCGAAATTCCCTGAAAGTTAACCGGATCGATAGGCACCTCAAGAAGGCCGGAGGATATAATGGCCGAATCATTGTTATAACAACAACAACAAAGATTAGGGCAATAGAACGAATGCAAACCATTGGAATAATGATAATTTCTCATCCCAGAAATTCAAGCGGGAATTAGTGACATTCTGTGAATAATTTGTAAATAAATTGCAGTTTCATGCAAACATACTGATAGTTACATATTCTCATTATTTTTATTATTTCAAACGTTATTATAGTGGATATTCGTATTTGAAATAGACGATCCATTTAAACTGTGTGTGTTACGTTTATCAAGCCTGTACGTTCGAGAAATATTAATAAAGAAAATGTGTTCTCAGATAGTAAAGGGAAAATATAGCCTTACTGAAGTGTGACGTTCAGCATGGCTGAACGATAAAGCACACCATATCAAACAGTGGTTTCTCCTAAAAAGAGGGACGTCGTTTCGAGCAATGTCAGGCAACACATTTTCTTTATTTAGATGCATTGAATGCACAGGCCGGTAGACGTAATCGATACAGTTTAAAATAAAATCGGGGTGTCTATTTCAAATAAAAGTTTTCAACTATAATAACATTTGAAGCAATTAAAAGATCGGATTAAAAATAAATCCATTAAAAACGTCGGATTAAAAATAAATCCATTAATCTTTTCTTTTTTTAGAAATATTTTTATCATGCAAAATAATTTCGTAAAACTAAATTTTGCTTGAATATAAACAAGCAACTTTTAATATGTTTGGCATCATCTTACCGGTTTCTTTTGTTCGTATCTTGGACTATTTAAAAAGCTGAGTTTTTTCACAAAATTCTCTGTGGCGCGTTTCGTCCTGTACGACTTAATCCGACTAAGTTTGTTTATGTTGATGCGACTACACATAGGTACGAACGAGAGACGCTGGGAATTTAAAATCTATATAATAAACGCGAATATCAGTGTGTCACTATGTCACACTTTTTCAACTTTACTCCTAGAGTCTGTAGCCCATCTATCTATCTATCTGTTTGTATGTGCATTATTGCTTAAAATCTATATGATAAATGCGTATATCAGTGTGTCACTACGTCACACTTTTTCAACTTTACTCCTAAAGGCCGTAACCCAACATATATCATTTTGGAATCAGGCCGACTCAGTGAACAAATTAAAAACATTTCGGGCCGGATGTGGATCCGTAATCATGAAATTTTGGATTCCGAAGTTTTAATTACAACGATTGTTTACGCATTCCGCCATCTTGGCTTCTAATGATAAAAAAAAAAAAACAATTAAAGAGACACAGCTCTCTAACTTTCAATAGTTCACGTTCATATGAAAAAAAATGCTGTTCTCAAATTACAGTGTTTCAAAATAAAATTGTCCGTATTAGCCCAACATATCATACCATTTTGGAATCAGGCCGATTCTGTGAGCAAATTAAAAACCATTCCGGGTTGAATTCGAACTCGCAATCCTGAAATTTTATTTTTCCTTACTGCGATTGTTTTCGGCGATTTTTATGTGATTTTTTGCGATGAATTCTTTTGTACGATAACAATTTTTATAATTTGAAAATAAATTTGGGAATAATTAAAATTAATTGCGAAATCCAACGAAAGTCACCCATGAAATAAAAATAACTGTTTGTACGGAAAGTAAAGACCTACGTACATAAAATTGTCTTTAAATTAAGTGATGGCAGAAGAATTATCATTTAACTTTAGGTAAGGTTAAATATTAATGCAGTACTTAAATGCAGCGATCCATTTTGGGTTCTTCTTTAGTTTATTGTTGCCTATCACATACGGCAGCTGTATGACTCGCAAACAGAAAACTTTGCCAACAGAGAACCAAATTGCAATCAAAAGAGCCAAGGCTGCAACGAGGAAAAGAGTCCTGTGGAAATGAAAACCCGGATCAAACGGTAGCCAGGAGAACTTTCAATGCTGATAATATGCAAAGACTTAGGGAATCTCAAACTCCTGAACAAGCCGAAGGTTCAATCAAGAGCCCTACGCAGCAGATAGCTCAAATGCCTCCCGATCGGGCGGGTTTAAAATATTTTTTGTTATTTTTTAAATTTAATTTGTCTTTTATATGTGCTTTCAATACAATTTCATATAGATTCTTTTTCTTTGTGTTTCTATCACTATTAGCTGTAATGACTGCAAGAATTTTAAATAAAAGTTTATATGAACACAAAAGGGATATATTACAAAACAACACATTAAAGGCATTAGTTACTCCCCATAACGAGACTAACCACAATCTTTTTTATAAAAATGCGACACTAATTAAAAGAGAAAACAATTCATTGAGATGAAAATTTTCGAAAGTTGTTTAATAGCTAGATCTTCCGCAGTAAAATTACTTCCAGGTTCTTAAATGTTTCGCCATTCTTGAGAGATCTTCTATTATCCCAGTGTGGGATATTTAATAATAATAATATTTATCGCAGTGTGGGATATTTAAGAATAAGAATCGATGGAAAGAAAAAGAAAAAAAATATAATTTAAATCAGATAGATTATATAATCAAAGGACATATGAAAACATTTAAAAAAGAAAAAAAAAATTTTTAAATTCAAAATTCCCAGCATCTCTCATTCGTTCGTGCGCACCTGTAGGCGCATCAATGTAAGCAAATTTGTCCTGATGAAGGATATGAAGGACGAAACGCGTCGCGCGAAAACTTTTTCCACTTTGTCGTCCATCTTTCCACAAATATTGTTCTTGATTTATAAAAATTGATATATCGTTATCTCATAACATTCTATAAACAAGAAATATTCTGTAAAATTATGTACTTGAGTCTAAAGACGTCATCGCATTTGGCAAATAAGTTTTTCTTCACCGATGTTTTTAATTTTGTTTTTAAAACTAGGGAACGCCAAGAGAGTGTATGTGGGTGAGATAGATAGATAGAGAGAGACATAGAGAGAGAGGAAAGAGAGAGAGATAGAGAGAGGAAATAGAGAGAGAGAGAGAGAGAGAGGAAAGAGAGAGAGATAGAGAGAGAGGAAAGTGAGAGAGAGAGAGAGAGAGAGGAAAGAGAGAGAGAGGAAAGAGAGAGAGAGAGGAAAGAGAGAGAGAGAAGAAAGAGAGAGATATAGAGAGAGAGGAGAGAGAGATAGAGAGAGAGAGAGAGGGTTGAGTGAAAATTAGCGACTGTGTGCTTGTTTCTTTGTTACTGTGGTCTCCTCTTTTAGAATGAAAACAGATAAACATGCCGACTACAAACAAAGAAATAAAATTGCAGTCACCTTTTCCTCGTTCATTCTGTTTGCAGAGTCTCCAACAAACTCGAGAAATCAATACTCCATATAAAGAAACTATTTGTTTTTAATTTGCACAGACGCTCAAATTAACTGACCTCCGGATGGGAAGCGTCGGTCTGTTTATTTCTCGACTTTATTTGCCACTAACAAACATCTGTAAGTTGAAAGTAACTTCCGGTAAATGAATAACAAAAAGGAAATATCTTCAGAACTGAGAAAAAAAGATTAAAAAAAATATGGCGACATATTGGATAATTAATGAGTTTTTGGCGTCCCTGATTTCTCTTTTCGGTTCTCATGACAGAAATCAGCAAATAGAACAGCAGGAAAAGAAATCTAAATAATTAATTGGCAAAAGCAGATAATCTGGAAATAAAAGGAGGGAATTATTTTAAAATTATTATAAATTACTCCGGTTTTGGATTTTATTTAATAATATCTTTAGATTAAAAACGATCTTACACACACGCAAAACAGATAAAACGTGAAGACATTTTCAGCAAAATGAAAAATAGAGA